TTAGGGGTTTAGGGTTTAGGGTTTAGGGTTTAGGGTTTAACCCCAAACCCCTAAACCCTGAACCCTACACCTCAAACCCCTAAACCCAAAGCCCTAGACTCCAAAACCCCGATGCTATCAACCTCAAGACTCGAGTCTGTTGCCACAAACCGTTAAGCCCCACAGCCCTAAAGCGCAAAGCTATCGCCCGAAGCCGAGAAGCCCTTTATCCGAACGGTGAGTGTGAACAAACTTCAAGGATTTCTATGTCATTTATGTGTGGATGGATAGCTGGGTGATGGATGCATGCGCACAGCATGCATGTATGTTCGTACTTACAAGTTGCATAAAGCATGTGTATGTATGTTTGTATATACAAGTGTAGGTACATACATACATACATACATACATACATACATACATACGTACATACGTACATACGATCATACGTACATACATACATACATACATACATACAGACATACATCTGCACATACATGCATACATACATACATACATACATGCATACATACGTACATACAGACGTACATACATGCGTACATACATACGCACATACATACATACGTACATACATACATACATACATACATACATACATACGTACATGCGCACACACGCATGTGCGTTGCCTTGCATTGCAGTGCATTGTACTGCATTGTACTGCATTGCAAGGCATTGCATTGCATTGCAAGGCATGTCAATGCACTACAATGTCCGTACAACCATTACGTATGCATGTATGTATGTATGCATGCATGCATGTATGCATGCATGAATTGTATACATATATATATACACACATATAAGCATACACATAATTTCAGAGCTCATAGGCTCAGAGCCTAAGCAACCCCGCAGGCTCTCGTATGCCTTCGTCGCCGGACGCTGCGGAAGCTGCAAGCGCTAAGCCCAAGGGCCTCGTGCGAACCAGGAGCTGTACCGTCTGAGGTGTTTACTTTCTAAGGCTGTTCAGGGGGGTTTGGGGTTTAGGGTTTGGGGTTCAGGGTTTAGGGTTCAGAGTGTCTTTCAGGCTGTTCTAGGGATGAGGGTTGGGTGTTGCTAGAGGGTCTTAGAGGTTTCTGTGGGGTCTTTATCGGGTCCTCATACTTTTTGCTAAAGAGTTTTCGAAGGGTGTTTGGAGCTTTTTTCACGGTGGTTTGACTTTTTGTTGCGGGTTTTGGGTTTGTTGGGTTTGGGAGGATTTGACGAGTCTTTATGGGGTTGCTACTTGGGTTCAGGGTTTGGGGTTTCGGGAGTTGGGGGTGTAGCAGGGCTTGAAGTCTGAAGTTTGAGGATTGGGAGTTTGTTTGGAGCCTCGGGGCTTTAGGGTTTTGGGGGTTTAAGGTTTAGGGTTTTGGGTTTAGGGTTTGTGGGTTTTCGGGTT